GAGATCAGTTAAGAATTCAGGCTGTTGTCTAGCTATAATGTGGATAATATAGTAGAATAAAGCTTTAAGTGCAGGTTAAGTAGCAGTAGTTGGCTTGATTTCCTTGCCAAGATAAAAATTATAGAGAAATTTTTTGAGAAAAGTAAAAAGCTGAAGATAGAATGAGTTTGTAGTTTTTTATTAGGTTGTATTTCTTTAGTAATAGGAAAATTTGCAACTCAGTCATATGTAGGATTAGATTTTGGCTTGGTGACACTAGTATAGAATTGAGAAAGAGGTTTGTTTGAAGTATTGTTGGATTGATTAGAGTTATTAGAATTGTTAGAATTTGGGTTAGAGTTATCGAGAATAGCAAGAATTGGAGGTTGATTAGGAACAGAATTGATATTAGTAGCTGTAAAGAAGAAAGAATCAATAAGATTAGAAGCAGTTTGAGAATTTTAGTAAAAAAAAGCAATAGGAAGATTAGTAGTTTGAGAAGTTTCATTTAGAATATTTTGGAAAGCTTGTGTAAGATTTTTCTTGATCTAAGATGAGCTGGCTTTATGTTGGGATGAAACAGTCATATAAGCAAGATAGTAAATTTTATTTTTCTTTGTAACATATTTTTTATTAGGGTAGTGATGCTTATTTCTTTTGGTATAACCAATTGGAAGAGAGCATTTAGAGCAGGTATGGTAGTAAATATTAGATGTAGAAGATAAAAGGATACTGTCAGTTGAAGAAGAGAGATTGGTTATAAGTTGTTAAGTTAATCTGTTTAGATTTTTTTTTAAGTTGCTATTAATATAAACTGTAGTAAGTTTAGTAGCTTGAATATGGTTAGTATTAATAGGTAAGATAAATTTAGTATGATATTTGTCACAGAGACAAGTAATTACAGAAGTGAAAGAAGGAACTTGAAAGAAGTGAGTAATTTTGTTAGACTAAGGTTTTTAGTTAAGTAAGTAGTAGGTTTGATTTTAGAAGAGATTGGACGAGCATTGTTGCCACTTTCTTCTTTATAGAAGGCAATTCCAAAACTGTTAGGAAAGTTTTAGTAGAAATAGTCAAGGTCTGTTGTATCTGACTCTTGGTTGATTAATATAGACATTATTGAGATATGAATAAGTAAATAGGTAATATAATAATAATTTAGAAAATTTTTCTAAGTTAAAATTGTGAACAAATAATTAATTTGCAAGGGTAGAGATTAAAAACAGAGGTTGTATAGTTGAGAAGTCACTGGAATAACACAGAGTGTAACTAGAATGATTGGGGTCACTGATGTGACTCAGGTACTGTATACAAATAAGATTTGCAATACAAACTGTTGTGTATAATTAATAAGAACCAAATATAAAAATAATTAAGTTGTGTTGAATGAATTTCTATTTATAGATGGATTACAGAAAATTTTTATGTAAATTAATAAAATATGAATTGGGAAATAATAATATGGTTACATGAAAAACATATAAGGAAAAAAGAAGGCAAGTAGGAACAAAAATAGAAAAAAGAAAAAGTTTTACAAGATAATAAAAGAGAAAGATTGTTGTAATTTGACCAATATTAGGTCACAATTCTTCATTTAGAGCTTGTTTTGACCAGGCAAGTGTGTATTATAACTTTAATTAAGAGTAAAAGATATGTTATTACAGTAGAAACCGTGAAAAAAATTAGTTATTAAAAATAGAGCCAAAAGCTGTTAGTACAGTTTTCTCAATGATTTTAAAAGCTAAAAGAATAATATTTACAAAATATATGTATAATTTAGAGCTGAACAAGTTTACTTAAGACACCAGAACAGGTTGTCTTAGTAAAATAGATAGTTATAAGCGTTTTTGACAACAGATTTTTTAATTAATTTTTGTGCAATAGATTTGCAGAAAGAGTTTTTATAAAAGTTTTATTTAAAATATATTAAGAACATATAAAATATAATCTAAAACTATTTTTTTTTGTTTTTTTTTAGATTTATTATTTGTTAAATCTTTTTCAGTAATTTTATATTTTTTATAATTAATTAAAATAGAAATATTAGCTCTAATTAGTAGTTTAGATTCAAATTTTGGTGTTTCTTTGGATTTCTTTAACCAGTCAGAATCTGGAACAGAATACTCATCAAAATTTTCTAATGTATTATTATCAATATGATTTTTTTTTATAGAAATCTACATCTTCTTTTACAAAACTATTTAATAATTTAAGCTGTTCATTAGCTTTGTAATAGTGTCAGTGTATTTTAATTCTTCATCATTTTTGCTATTGTAATCAAAGAATTCCATAAAGTTTAATTCTCATGTGAAATAAACTGCTGATATTTCATATTTGATATAAACCTAGTAGCATTTTTTTCCTTTGTATCTTTCCAAAACTGGTTCATTTGTAATCAATTTCAAAGTATTATAAAATACACTCAATGTTATAAGAAGTATTTTGGATAACATATTATCAGCATCAGCATTTTTTTTATCTGTTCTACTAAAAGTAACAGCTACATTATCATATATGAATTTGCCACTATCTGTTTTATTAGGATTATGAATTTCAGCAAATGAAAGCATTTCACAGTATTTCTTATCTTGGTGAACAACAAAATAGATATAGACAACATCTTCATTATCAATATGTTCATTATATTTTGTTTGAAAATAATTAATCATTGTCTTGATTTTATTTTCATGAGTTTCTTGTTTTTCTTGTGATTCACAAACTTCAATATGGTCATATATACTATTTTTTTTTTTAACTATCCCCGATGTATTACATCGTGGGGCACGTGTGGCACTCTAATTTTCTTTATTAACTTTAATGTTTAGAACCTACAGGTTTACATATTTAGTTGCTACGTACATCACCAATGGTGTTCTCTAGCCCCACCATACTACATTATTAACAAGTTTATCACTATTGTGATAACCCGGGTCCCTGGCCCTGCAGTGTAGGACCCCTTACTCAAGTCCGCAGTTCCCTATCAACAATGGTCTTTTTAGGTTCCGTCTCCTTATCTCTATTGCCTTTTATGATAATTTTCTAATCTGGGATCCTTATGTTATTGATGTTTCTTGTCGGATTATCTCCTTATCTGGGCATCATGTAACCCTGTGGCTATGTCACTCGACTTGTTCTTGTTGTAGTACTTTGTCCGAAATTGGAAGTAGGCAATCCCCGTAGATCATTCATTCTTGTAATATTCTTGTTCGGAAGTAGAAATGAGAAATCCCCTTAAGATCATAACAATCGTGGTTCTGGTACAGCTTTTTCTCCCAGTTGGAATTGAACTGGCAATCTTGCGAATGTGACCTGGGAGTGCTAATCACTGCACTATTGATCCGCAGGTCATATATACTATTTTTCCTTTTAATGAATAAAAATATTTTTTTACCAGTTCTTGTATTAATATAGTATTTGTATTTTTGATGTGAGTTTCTATTACTATAATTTGTATAGTTATTAGAATCATAACTGGATGGTATAACATAAAAATCTTTAGTATCAGATATATTTATTATCAGTTTTAGAATTCTTGATGTAAGTAACAATAAATAGTTATAAAAATAAAGATTAATATTCAATGGTACAACTCTCTTAACTCCCCTATTACAGAAGATGAAGTACTTCAAACCTTGTCACAACTCCTAAATGGAAAAGCCTGTGAACCTACAGGCATTAGCTATGAAATGCTTAAACATGCAGGTATTACTTGCATTAAAGCTATTACAGCTCTATTCAATTGTTGTTTTAACTCAAGCCAAATCTCCAAATAATAGAAACATAGTAGAATTTTTCTGATTCCAAAACGTAATACATTTAATAGTAATCTAATCCTCACTCACCCTATCAGACTTATCAAACATATTCAAAAAGTTTATATAAAAATTATTATTACTAGAATCAGTACTGTGTTTCTCAACATCCAATACTCTCACCTTACAACTATGTAGCTCCATCTAATAATAGCACATCTATACCAATTCACATACTTAACAACCTCATTGAAGATACATCATGCAACAACAAACCAATTTGGCTTTTATCTCAAAATATGAGTAAAGCATATGACTCAGTTAATTTTACTCTTCTTCAAAAATCTTTACAACACCTTGCCCTTCCTCATTCTATAATAAATGCTATTACTAACATCCTTCATGATCGACAAAACAAGTCATTACAAACCTTGAACTTACTTCATCATACCTAGTACATAACGGCATTGATCAGGGTGAAACTATTACTCCTCTCTTATAGAGAATCTACTATGACCCACTTATCTCATACATTTATAATAACTTCAAGGGCTACACTACACAAGTCTCTTGGTTAACTAATCTAAAACATCAAACATATAACAAGCTTAGCTCACATTGCTCAGTTCTTGCCTATATGGATGATACTCTTTGGATTACATCCTTACAACAAGAACTAAGATAGGTTAGTGGTGGCAGAAAAATGTCACGGTTTCGTGATTGCCGACCGTTTCTGATCCATTTGATAGTCCGAAATTAGTACAGTAATAGGATCAAAATAGTGATAGTATTTACAGTTATATTATATTATATTAAATCGGTATATTGATCATATACATAAATCAATAAGTTATATATGCTAATTAATATAACGAATAAAAACTTTTATATTATTAATTTAGCATAGTGAAATTAAATTAATCGAATTTACATTTGCTTCGAAAGTTGATATAATAGATAGATATATAATTAATATAAGAATGAAATCCATATATTAATCAAAAAAAAAAATTCAAAAGTAAAAAATTGTAAATTTGATATAATATAAATTTATGTATTTGGAATTTTGATATAATGTAAATTTATGTGTTTGGAATTTTAATAAACAGATATATAATTAATATAATTTAAAGGCGAATTTATATTGCTTTACGTAATTTATCAATATTAAAATGAAAATTGTTCGTTTTTTTTTTATTAAATTTGTTATTTACTATATGATTACAATGCATTCACGGTTAAAAAAAACTAATACTACAAGCTTTTTTTAAAATGTCTACTTCAAACATTGCAACGCCAAACACTAAACAATGCACTCGCTGTGATAAGTTCAAACCAATTGCTGAATTTACGAGACAAAGTGGAAACAAAAGTAAAATATTTCAAAGATGCAATATTTGTGCAGACTATGAAAAACAAAATAAAAGAGATAAACAGCTTAAAACAAAATCATCTAGCAATGACAATTCTCCATCTCTTTCTTTGAGCCATGAAGAAGCACTATCCCTTTCTTTGGGTTATGAGGACATACCAACCCTTTCCTTGAGCCATGAAAATATACCATCTCATTCATTTAGTCACAAAGATATGCCATCTCTTTCTTTAAGTTATGAAGATACACTATCACTTACCTTGCGTTCTGATGATACATCATCTTTTTTCTTGAGTTACAAAGATATACCATTCTTCTCTTCGAATCAAGAATTCTTTCTTTCAAGCCATGAAGATACGCCTCCTTTGAGTCATAAAGATATACTATTTCTCTATTTAAGTCATGAAGACGAATCATCCTCTTCTGTAAATAGAATAATGTCATCTAATTCAGATAGTATTGAAAGCAATGAAGATGAAATAATTCACAATGTATGCGATCTTGAAGAGCTCATTGCTCTTAAATTTAGAGATGAGGAAGTAGAAGACCATGTTGAGTTCACTATAACAGTAAAAATTGAAGACGAATTAGTTAATGAAGAAAATTTAAACTTGGAATTTAATAATTATGTAGAAGATAAGAAATTTCATGCCGTGATTAAATCATTACTTATACCTCTTCAAGCGGGTTCTAGATATTATTGGGAGCTTAGAAATCTATATCATAATAAAAAAAATGGCCAGTACACAGGTTGTGCAACAGCTCATATAGGCTGTACACAAAGAACTGATCGTCAAAATAAACGTCAAGGCAAACAACCTGTAAAATGAATAAATGAAGCGCGACCAGCTATTCAACGTTACTCATGTAATGGAGCTATTATAATTAAAATAGATTTATATAAACAGCAAGCAATAATAACTATTAACTATTTAGCACATGAATGCCCTGAATATAAAGAATCTAATTTACCTATAGGTGCTATAGTATGGATAAAACAAAATATTAATAAAAACTGGAGAAAAATAGAGTTATACAAACAACTATGTAATGAGAATTTAATCAATCCATCACTACATACATACCATCAAGTATATTATTGGATACATAAGTTTTCAAGAACACAATATGTTACAGATATAGCAAATCAAGTAATATCCACTAAAAATTTTCTAGAACGGTGGGAATTAGTGAATGAAGGATATAAAATTATTCAATATCAAGAAAATAATTTTGTGTGTTCTCTTGGATTTGTTGCTCCATTCTTTCAAGGTCTACAAAATTTACAAGAAAATTTTAATGAAATCATAATTGATTCAACATTCAAAACAAATCAGGAACGTTTTGAACTCTTTGCAGTAAACGTTAATTGTGGCGGGTATGTTATATATATAATTTTTTTTTTCTAATTCAATTTTTTTTTCTAATTCAATTTTTTTTAAATTTTTTAGATATGGTTTTCCTCTTGCATATCTGTATGTTGACACATTTTCAGCATCAGGAGAACTTCTTTTTAATTCTGATAATAGTGTATATAATCGTGTTGGTGTTCTTAAAGAATTTTTTATTGGTTTAAAAAATGAAGGCATTTTACCAGCTTTTGTTCTTTTGGACAAAGATTCTAAAGAGATCGTTGCTGTAAAAAAAGTTTGGTTTCATGCAGTTATACACCTTTGCCTTTGGCATATGAAGCAAGCAATTGAATGCAAATTGAAAGAAAAAAAGATTCGAAGAAGCTTATATACAGAACAAAAAGCAAATGAAGCACATGCACAGTTTCATTTCATTGATCCAGCCTGGTTTCCAGTAGAATGTCAAAATGATATTTGCCCTGAAGAATTTAAAAAAGAGTTACTAGAAATAATTAAAAAACATTCATTATTGCACCCTCTTATACCTATAAATAAAAATACTTTCCTTACAACAGAAGAAATCCGATACCAAAGCATTCTAGAAGCTTACCAGTTTTGTCGTCAAAAGAATTTTTGTATCTTACGGGGATACTTATGGATAAACTGGTATAATGAAACAGACTGGCGCTTATTTGCAAGAGCAGCCTATCCAAAAGCAATGCCTATTGCTAGAACCACAATGATTACTGAATCTCACTGGCGTGTCCTCAAATATAATTATAAATATTACTCTAATCGGCCGCATCTTGATCGTTTAACAGAAATTATTACCAAAGAGCTCATACCAGATATGATGAACACATGGAGAAGGTTTCGTTATAACCGTGAGTTCCCATCATATTGGGATTCATTCAAACACGACTGGAAATTAGCTCTAGAAAAGGATATAGGTATAGAAGAACATTACTATACTGATGTTAATATCTGGATTTGTTCTTGCTCGGCCTTCTTGCATAGTCCTTATTTTATATGCAAGCATTTGGTAAAAAAAATATTCAACAGAACATCCGTCTTTTTTTCTACAGTTTCTTACCACTATGCGCCATCATGATTATCCTCTTATTTCTTTTGAAATTCGCCTTCCAAGAATTAATTTAAACAATAATCCTTGGAATAATATCCAACAAAGTAATATTATAGAATTCTATCCCAGGTTAGCAATATTAGACAACCATAGCATGAGTATAATTATCCATGACCGCCATAGAATTATTGAGAATAGAAGAACAGAACTAGCCTCAGATACAAAAAATTTTGAAACATTAGTAGAAATTATAAGCAATAATATAGAAAATGATAAGCTTTATGAAACTTATACAATCCTTAAGCAACCTCTTATTAACGAAACTATAACATGTATTGAAGTTCTTAGAGCTAGAACACAACAAACTTCGAACCTACTAAAAAAAGGAAAGCTAGCCTTTTGGTTGCAATAGATTTTATTTAATATAGATAAGTAAAATTTGTAAAATATTATGATTAAAATTCAAGATGTAATAATGTAATAAAAAAATTTGTACTTAGTATTAAAATAAAACTTTACAACATAAAGAACTTTCTATTAATCTTTTAATTTATCTGCTCTTATAAGCTTGGAATAATAAGCCTCTCATAACAAAGCTTCTTTTATGAGTTCTGAGTAATTCTGTTCGAAAAACCTATGATTTGTATGTATATATTATTCTTTAAATGCATAATGATAAATTTTGTATGTAAAATTTTTTGATAATCAAGATTATTATGTTATGTATCCTTTTTCGACTTGGTCGGAAACGGTCAGCGATCATAAGACCCAACATTTTTCTGCCACCACTAACCTATCTTTTACTCATGCCACTACTATCGTATGATGGTTAAGCCTCATTCTGCTTTGACAACATCGTCCAAGCCTTGTTTACGATTACCCTTAGTTGAGTCCTATAATACAGGATTTACTACGCCGATTTCGAAAAGTCACTTTTAATCTGTGAAACTATTATACTAAGAACAAGTGCAAGGAAGAGTATGTTTAATCCCACTTGCTTTTTGCCCATGGCTTTGTCACCGATTGAATCGATCAATTGGTTAAATATCATTTGTAAGAAGAGATAAATAAATATTTCGGTTAGTGGGTGTGCTGTTTATTACATAATTTTTTGTTATTAGTGATCCCTCCCCTAAAAAATTGTCGGTTAGAGGTGTGCCATTTATTATGTAATTTCTTGTCATTAGTGATCTCCTCCCTAAAAATTTGCGTAGTAAACGGTTCACACTAACAAAATAAATCAGACTAAATACTAAATTTGTACAATAAGAAATTAATAATGACTGCTATATTTACCAATCAACCTGAATACTAAATATATGATACTAAAATTGGCACTTTTAAAGAATTTGACCAGTCGGAATTACTTTTGAACATATGTTGATCCATTTCATTTATGTAAGATATAGTACAAAATATAGTACAAAACATAATATAATAACAACTAATAATGACAGTCTAAATATTGTGCCGATATCATTTCCCATAATTTATCTCATTTATATTTATCAGGAACGGAGTATAAAGGTATGGTTTCCTGGCAAGTTAAGTGGAGTTCGCAATTCTGTGCATCTGATTGGATGTTTCTGCTTTGTGACTTTGTATGCATTCATGTATGATGACGATTAATACCTAAATTTATCATACAATAATATTTTATATTATTCGATTTATCGTGTGGCTTTTACATCTATCTCTATAATTTAAAGCCGAGTTTGTGGTTTTACACGTTTTTTTGGTTGGTCTAGATGATAAACTTGATCATGTCATAGTTAAAATGTGTTTTAGTTGGTTTAAATAGCAAACGTATCTTTTTTGAGGAGTGGGTCGGCAATCAACATGTATGATATGGCTTGTCAATCATCAATCAACATGTATGATGTGGCTTGTTGAACATCAATCGACATGTATGATGTGGCTTGGGTTTTAATTCAGTACATGCGTACACACATATGACTTGATATTACACATTATGAATCGAATAAAGTGTACCAGTTGGGTGTTTAAAGATAATGATATTTAGAATACAAAGAATACTATTAGAACTCCATGATATATTGTCATGAGGTACAGGATTCTTTAAAAGCTTTTCTTAAATTAATATGATGTTCTGGCAACTTTGTGTTTAGGGTTTTAACAATTGATGTGGATCATGAGGCTTAAAGTATATTGAGACTGCTGCAGGTAATAAATAAGCAACCCAATTTCATTACATGTGTTACTGTATGGTTCGATGTGTTATAGATAGAAATAAATGACTTTTAGATTTCTGAATTATCATTGATAAGACTGTTTATTACAATATAATACTCATAAACACTTATAAATACGATAGAAATTTTTTGCTTTGTGTGATTGATAATTGATGATAATAATTGATAATAATCTAATATAATATACAATTTTACTATTTATTGCCGCTGGTGATCATCACCAGTATTATGTAATATAGTGATCGGCACAAGTATTGTATCATATTATATAAATTATGTAATACTGGTGATCGTCACCAGTATTATGT